TTATTAACCATGTCAGATCTGCTCTTGGTAGGAAATGTCAGTAAGGTCTTGCAGGTACTGTGTCTTGGGGAAAAAAATGGGAATTTAGGGAGCAAATTTTGTGTTTGGAGAGGTAGGAGAAGCAATTTTATTATGAGTTGTTATCTGTTTTGCCTGCTGTCTCCATTGGCAGAGGGAGGGATTAGCACTGTCATGGCAATATTAGGATATTAGGTTTGATATTTGCAGGTTAAATTAAGTGGAAGAAAGAAATGAGAAGTTATGAGCATGAAAAATGTTCTTAGGTAGGTAAAATCACTGAAGTTATTCCATACATTAATAAGTGACATTTCTTATAAAATGCACATGTAATACTAAATTCTCCAAGGTGCTTGTAATTTGAAGAAATACTTTCTTGCAACCCCTGGATAAAGACATTGAGTTTTTCTGCATCACTTGCCATGTGTTAATTCAGACATGCAAATAATGACTGAAGAACCTGATTTCCATAGTGCAGGAAGTGTTTTCTGAAGAACAACCAACCCAGAACAGTATCAGCATTATACTGAACACGGACCTATGCTTTGAAAATAATTTTTTTTTTTGCTGATTAAACTGGCTCCTGTTGAAAATCTTCCAGTTCTACTCAATTTTTATTATTTTTGCATTTGTTTTTCAGTAGATGTTAATAATCTGAGAACTGCAGTCCATTGATCATTTTTAAATTATTCATATAGCAGTTGAGCAGAGCAAATATAAATCTAATCAGTTTTAAGCATTTCTGTTTTGTTAAGTGTATCAGAGGATATAAGGCAGGTGTAAATGAAAACACACCTGTGGTTCAGGCAGTATTTTGTCCAGCTGAATGGTTTGGTACTCACACAGTTGAAGAAATGAACAGTTATCTTGTGCACATTGGTGCATAAATGGAGATGTAAATGTGCAGTAACTGGGTGCACAGATTTCTGAGATACCTTCTTGCTGAGGGGTTGGTGAAGCGTTGGGTGCCTGCTAAGGGCTTTGACCTGCACCTGGGAAAAGTAACAGGAAAATATGCAGTAAACCTGAAATCTCCTAAATGGAGGGGGGCAGGGTGTTTTTGAAGTAGATGAGGTTAGTGGGACTTGAGATGATGTCTATAAACTTTACTTTTCCTCTCCCTTGAAATCTCAAGGGAGAACCCAAGACTTTTTTCTTGATCTGTTTTTTGGCTTTGTTATCACCAAGTATTGTCGTGCCTTAGGATCAGAGAAGACTACCTTAACTACACTAACTGGTCCCCTCACATTTTCATTAGTGCTTTACAAATCTTTGTATCATTTTAGCAGATCATGCCTTGGCTCCTTTCAAACCCATGACATTACTCTTCCTTGTACGCAGTCTGACATATACTTGGGTAGTTTGTTGCTGTGCTGGGTTTTTCCCTAACTCTCCTACTTTTGCAGCCAAGTTTCTGCCAGGAACATCCTCAGAAGGTGCAGTATTGGAGTACATGAGTGATTTTTGGCTCCCCGGCCCTGAATGTGGGGATACCATTAATATATCCCAAAGCAATAGCCTTTTTGCTGCATTGGTGATTAAATGGCTTCCTAGCTCACACTGGAGGATGTTTCTCCTTTTGTGAGAAGGTCTGTCAGGGGCTGTTAAACATAATGGTCCAAATGCAATCTCCAGCTCAGGAAGCTCTTTGACTGCTGTAGCTGGAAAACAGTATGAGGGTAGGGGCCATCCTGTATCTGCCCTGCTGCTTGGACACATCCCAGAGGAATTCACAACTGCCCACTATCAGGCCAGACATGATCAGGTGGGCCTTTATTCTGGCTCTGCATTTATATTCTTAAATTCCTTCTGGTGCCGCCTCTGTCTTACTGAGTTGCCCAAATGGTTCTCCAGCTGGCTCACGAACTCTGGCTGCGTGTCATCTGGTTTCACTGCACCAGTGGGATGCAACGAGATTAAATACATTAACTGTTCCTCTGACCCTTCTTTTCCAGCTCTGTGAGCTTCTCTCTTCCACGAGGAATGTGAGTGAAGGCTTTTACCGGTGCGGTGTCACCTTTTGGTTTCTTCCTCCATAATTAAGTGATGGGCCCCTCTCCAGAGCTTTCCCTCCCCTGGATGGAGCCGTGTCACTGCTGCTGTTTAAGCTGTTTGTGATGTTGGTCTCTTAAAAAGCATTACTCTTGAAAAATTGTACTGCTGATGCTGGGGTCATCTTCTCCCACGTACCCATTTCTCCACAGACTTTAATTTCTGGTGCTTTTCAGTCTTTCCCTGCAACCAGATGTCTTGTGGACCATTTTTTTTTTGTTGTGGTGGATTTGCTCTGCTTCACTGCTGTGCTCTGCACTGAGAAGTAGCATTTAGTTTGCTTCAACCCGTTTCCCCCCCTCTTATTACCACCCAGAGGATCTTGTGAGCTCATTTAACAGCCTTCAGCCTCCACTCTCTACCTGTTAATATTTTTCTTTGGATTCCTACCATCCTCTGGAGCATTGCCTCTTACTAATTGAGAGCTAATGCTAAGTAGGGCAAACATTGTAAAGAGCAGCTTTTCCATGAAGAGGCTCTTTAATTGCTGGCAGGAGAAGGTAATATCTGTAGTGTTTCCTCTCCCTTTGCTAATGCAAGTTCAAGTATTGCCCTTCCTGCTGGTACGCGAAAGTACTTGATTAAAGGTTAGTGCTTTGCATTTGTTGGTTGTGGTTAATGAAGCTTCATGGTATAGGATTATTTTTGGTATCAGGAAAAGAAACAGACACCTGACTGGGTGTATTCCAGTAATATCAACCTTTAGCTTATGCAAGTGCTTCTGAGATGTTTGCTCAGATAGGGAAGATTGCTAGGAGATAACAGACCAAAGGGACCCTCCTGTACAGGGAAATCCTAAGAAATGCCAGGGCAGTGGCTTCAGTTCTTGCTTGCTCACTGGACCTTGGCAGGTTGCACAAGCAGTGTTTGTTTGGCATGAGTGCCCAAACCTGGTACCAAGGTGGGTGAGCACGTGCTGTCTCCTGGTTCTCACCAACAGATCTTGTGCTTTCCTCCTCCGTGTCCTGGGAACACGAGCTGCTCAGTAGAAAATGTCCTTGACCAAAGTGCAGTGCTAAATCTAGTTGTCAGTTGAACTTAGAATTTATAGATGGGGTTGGGTTGCTTTTAATGAGAATGCCTTGTCTTGTTTCTCTCCTCCTCCCTGTCTTTAAATCTGCCTTGTCCTTTACAGCTCTCCAAAGGGCACTGCAGCAGAAAGGGAACACATGAACAATGCAACATGAAGCCAAGAGCTTTTTATATTTGACTTAATAGCCTTTCTTAAAGAAATTTGGCCTAGGGCTAGACGTTTGCAGGTGGGAAAGGTGGAAAGACACACCTGCTTTCTCTACTGATGTCTTATGGTTTAAGAACAGTGCCTAGGTTGTTCCTTCTTTGGGTGATCAGTAGTAGTGATTTCTGGCTCTTGGAGTTTTTATCAGGTTTCTGTTTCTTCTCCCTCCTGAAGGAAAACTTTCCATGTTTTGAATAGAGTCACATGGCAGGTTAATTTGTGCCTAACCTACAGTGCTGGGTTTTGACCCGTGTGTTTGGTTGGAAAACCCCAGCTGGCCTCAGCACAGAGACCTGGGCTGCTCCTGAACCTGAGTGGCCTTTCCACTTACCCCAAAGCAGTGATGGACCTGACCTGCTGAACCAATCCAACCTGAAATGGTGGCTCATTAAAATCCAGATACCCCTTAAGCACTGGCATGGACAGGAGAGCAGGGCACTTTCACTCAGGCTCCCTGAACTTTTGATTTGTTCAGAAAGTGATTTCCTGGGTATGAGTCTGTATCGGTACTTTGTTTTAAACCAACTCCTTTAATTAGGCTTTTGACAGAGACAATGGCTTTTGATTTGAGCACTCCTGTAGTAGCTAATTAACTTCCCAAGAATTTTGTGGACACTTGGATGTCACTTATTTCAGAAGGTGAGGAGTATGTCTTTGTGGAGTCTTTTTTACCTCTGATATTCCAATGACCTTATCTTGCCTTTGAAGCTGTAGGTATTTCCAAGGAAGTTAAGCTGGTGCTCATTCCAACCCTGCACTGCTCATTCTGTTTGTGTTGTGGGGTTTTTTTCTGTTTCTTGTGTAGAACAAGGGGAGGATTTGGTAGTTCATTAGTTGAATTGAGGTCATGGAAATGAATATTTAAATGGAAGGCTTGAGGTGAAAAACAGTATTGAAAAGTCTCTTAAAAACTTTTTGTTAATAATGATTTTTGTAGTTGGAATGTGGTATATTTACAGTATATAACTTGATAATGTCCTTTTTCCTTTGCCTGCAACCTTTAGAATAAATAGTATTACATTAATTACGGAAAGTTAAATAGCAAAAAAACTCACCTAAATTTTACTAATATTTGCAATCCCATACACATTTCAAAATGCTGGAGTCTTAAGGACAGAGTGAAGTTAGTCCTTGTTCTTAATCCTTTTTTCTACTCTAGGATTATGGCTCCCACAACAGAATCAGACATGAAAAAGGGATTTTTGCAGCAGGGCTTTGCCTTTGCTGTATCTTAAGCACAAAGATAAGCATGTTTATGCTTGAACATGACGACACTGTGGAAAATAATTGTTGATCTGATTAACTCCATTGAGAGGGAACTTGCCTTCCTGTGCTTTATGGGTGTTCATCTGCCCGGGGCAGCAGAGGCTGAGCCAGGAGAGCTGCGGCTTCATTTCCATTCTGCAGCCACTCAGAGGATCGAACAAGTTTGGACAGCAGACAAAAGGCAGGCCTGCGAGAGTCCCTTCTGCATGTCAGACTTTGACAAGTTTGTGTGCTTAAAGAAGCTGGAAGCAATAAAGGCTGAGCAAAAGAGACTTCTCAATACCTTTAGGAAGAACCAAATATATGGGGGGGGTTTAATGTTGTTTGATTCTTTTGTTGGTTTTGCTGTTGTTGTTGTCTTGGCTGAATTTTTTTTTTTCATGAAAAAAGTGGATTTTTATTTTCACCTCTTTTTCTTTCAATCCAGGAAACCTGAAATTGAAATTGGCTTGTATTGATGGCTAGATAGAGCTGAGAAGCAGACAACTGGAATTTCTCTCTCAGAAAGCAAGTATTCAGTTAAATCAGTAAATCCCCCTATGACAGTTTAATCCTAAACTGGAGCACAAGTCTCATGCAATGAAACAAATGTCCACAATATTAGGGAGGACTCTCAGAAGCCTCATTTAACTGCTGGAAATAAAGACACTCTAACATGCTGCTCATTCCATAAATATTTCCCAGTTGTAAGCCATAATGGGAAAACACATTACCTTTCACCACAGCTGTGATTAAACATGGCAGGATTGCTAAACCAGCAGCATACAAAACTCTCTTAGAGTGTGCAGCCACGTGAGGTGGTGTCTTTCCTCTGTCCTTAATTTTTGCCACAGCTGAAATGCAAAGCTTGGGGCAACAAAGTGTGATATTGTGTCACTGTAGGGTCAAGCTTAGGGAAATCACTTGTTCCTTACCTGAATTCCATATTTTGAACAGCAGTGTCTTGGACAGGGTCTGGACTTAACACATTCAGTCTGCAAGACCACCACAGTAAAGGATGAAGTGTGATGGAAGGATCTGTCTTTCCTTGATTAGATTTCATCTGGTTTTTGTCAGTCTGTAGCCCCATTTCCTCTGTGTGTCCTTTCCAGGTGTGTATGTTTGTACCTCACCTTTTGCTTTGTGCTCTCTGCTCTGCCTGTACTTGCCTGTTGTGTGTCACCCTACTTTTGACTTGTTAAGTTTGGAGGTCAGAGAGAGGTTGGGGTTTTTGCTGCGTATTTTTGTTGTTGTTGTTGTCTGTGTTTTCTTGGCTGCTTTTTTTTTCTTTTCATATTGTTTCCAAGCCTCATGGGTTCTCCTCTAGGGTAAGAGAGAGCCTTTGGCCATCCCAAGACTGTAAATTATAAACAGAATTGCCTTTAACTTGCAGATTTTGAGCAAATCTTTCCTGGAGTAGCACTGGAGGTGGTGATTAGAGCCGAGGTTGGTTGTCTGTTGAGTGTGAAGTTCTCACAGCTGTCTGGCAGAGCTGTCTGCTTGCTGCAAAGCCTTGTTGTACAGTTGGCTCGGGATCCATGGCAATAAAGTATCTTCTGACAAGTTATTTTTCTTTTTTTTCTGTTAAATTTTTTTTATTTTCATTTCACCCTTTTCTGACTCTAGCACATGATTTGAGGTCCTGCCTACGTGACAGTAAAACAGGGCTTTTCTTCCTGACAGTGGGCATTTCTGGCTGCTCCCCAGATCTCCTGCTCTCCCATGGGCAGGGACATCGTGTCTGGTTGGAGACAGCTCTGCCCAGTCTGTAATACCACTTAAACAGTCTGTCATCTGGCTTATTAGATGCATGGGAAAGCAGTTTCTTATACCTGTCCAGTTTCCATTTCCAGTTTCCATTCTATGGAATGGACATTTCCCATAAGTCATACAGGAATTTTATGACAAAACCTTACCTAGAGCCTATTTTGGACAATGAACCTTGTGTTTTAGTTTTCCTCTTTGTAAGGGATTGTTCATAAAATGCTGAAGACGCTCATTTAAATTCATCCCAGAAGTTTTGCATGCTGAAGAGATTTCAGTTTATTCCAGACACTTATCAGGAGAAAACTTTGGAAGCAGAACTGTGCGTAATTGGATATGTGCACAGAGATCCCTGCAGGGTGTGTGTTTCAAAGTCTGTTGTCTCTGCTGTTAATAACAGCCCAAAAGACCTCAGGCATCTATTTAAGGCTTTTTTACTAAGGGGTACAGTGAAAAATATATATAATTTAATACAGTATTAAAATGCTAGTCACGTGGAAAACTGACCTTATTTGAGGTACTAGATTAGCCTGTAAGTCCTCATATTTGGCCTTGGTTTTGGTTCATTTTTAAGGGAGGGATGGAGGCAGCTGGTGTTTAAAATACCTGAGTTTCTTTTCTTCATGCTTGTCTTCCAAGCATTTAACAGTGGCGAGTCTGACTGCAGATTGTCTTTACCTGGCACAGACTCCCAGCGCCGCCGGCTCTCGCTCTCCAGCTCCTTCTGAAGGGTGCATGTGAGTGCATTGGTGAGGGCCCTCAGAGGTGGTTCTCAGAGCTGGATGCGCTGCAGCTTTGGCTTTTTGTGGCCCAGCTTTCCAGGGGCTGGGCTGGAGCGCTGTGGTCCGAGCTGGCTCTGTGTGGCACGCGGGCGCGGTGCCCGGCCGGCCGCGTAACGCTGGGCAGCCTCTCCGCGTCCGGGCTTGGAATCACAAACGGCTGCTTGGCAGGGAGATCAAACCCTTCTGAGAACTGCAAGGGTGTGAGACCAGACACAAGGATGGGCACAGCCCTGGGTTTCCTTCCCAGTCCCTCAGCTGTAGCTCTCTGTGGTCGCTGCTCCTTCATCTAAGGAATCACAGAAGCCACTTGTCACAGTGCTGATGTTTTCTTGCTGCTTGAGCTGTCCAGCCGTGCCTCACTGTTGGAGAGGATCCCCTGGCAGGACCATAATTTGCTTTTTTTGGGTAGGGTGACCAAATTCTAAGAGTAATAGGCCAGGAAGGTGTATCTGTATTCCTGCCAGTCAAGCACGTCGTCAGTGGTGGTGGCTGTAATGTGAAACCCTCCCAGAATATATCAAACCATAGAAGAGACAGACTGGGGGAAACCTTTTAGAAGCCTTCCAATACCGAAAGGGGGCTACAGGAAGGCTGCAGAGGGACTTTCCACAAGGGTATGCAGTGATAGGACATGGAAGAAGGGCTTTCAGCTGAAAGAGGGCAAGGTTTGATTAGTTATTTGGAAGAAATCCTCCCTGTGAGGGTGCTGAGGCCCTGGTACAGGTTGCCCAGAGAGGCTGTGGCTGCCCCCTCCCTGGAAGTGTCCAAGGCCAGGTTGGACAGGGCTTGGAGCAACCTGGGATAGTGGAAGGTGTCCCTGCTCATGGCAGGGGGTTGGAACTAGATGATCTTTAAGATCCCTTCCAACCAAAACCATTCTAGGATCCTGTGATTCTCTTAAGAGTTACCTTTGGGGGATATCCCTGTGAGCTTCTCATATCTAGCAACATCCTTAAAACAGCCATTAGCTGTCCTCGGTGGTGATTAGATTACGGCATTTCAAATGTCCACAGTGATCAACCATCTCCTTTAAAAGACTGTGCAATACACATAGAATGACTCAGAATGGTTCAGAAAGCCAGGGGCAGCCGAGATGTTCGGGGGCTTGAGCACCCTCATGGCCCTGCAGCCATGAGAAGGAGACAGTGACTGCTCCTGCAGGCTGCAGTCCCCAGGTGCAGCAAGGAAATTCCAGAGGCACATTACACTGAGGTCATGTTTCTCCCAACATAACTCTGAAATGACTTTTTGTGCATTCCCTCTTTCATCCTCGCTGGGGATGGCGGCGTGTTCCAGTGCGTCGTGCGTGTGGTGACAAGCTTTGTAAGAGCTGCTTCCCACAACCCAACCTCGCTGCAAGGCAGCAGAAAAAGGGCTTTTTCTGTGAAGCTTTCAGAATCTGGAGGGATACACATCTTCTCGTGTTCCCTGGCTACTGAACTGAGAGTGGTTGGCAGTCCAGCACGTTCACAGCTTGAGGCTTGGGACGCAGCTAGTCTAACGTGCTGGTGATACTGCTGACATTGCATTGTGGGACAGGGAAGCAAAGGTTGGCAAGAGATGGCATTGTTCACTTTCCATACATGGATTTAAGTCTTCTCATTGTTTAAAGAAGGGATTTGCAAACCTTTTGGTGTGTTCAAAAACACCTTCCAAAGGTATATTCATCATTTAAAGAATTAATGTTGAAGCCTTGACAGTTCAAGTGTACAAATGAAGGGAAGTTTAGAGGAGGAGCCAAGTTTTCTGATTTTTTTTTAATATTATTTAGTCTGAGCAGAAAGGCTTTCAGGCCAACAGCCCATCTTCAGACTGGAAAAGAAGACTTAGATCTTGAAAGCTTGTCAGCCTCTTTGCCCTCCCACCCCCTCGGGCTCCTTGTTTGTATCTGTTGGTCTAATAAAAGGTATTACATCTCCTGAAAAATGTTTCCTCGCTAAACATTTAAACACACTGGTTTGGATTTGTCAAAACTGTCTGGACGAATTAGGCGGGTTTCCATAACACTCCTGAGCAGCCTTTAAATCATGAAGATGGATTTGGAAATGCTATCCGATTTTTTTTTAAGTGGGTGGTAAAGTAGTATGGACAATACAGAGGCCTTTAATGTTTCAGTTATTGAAAACTTCTCAGTTTGAAGTCTAGGTAGTGTCTATTTAAACACTAGTCCTGCAGCAGATGTTTGCTTTGCTTTCCTCCCTTTTAATGCAGCTGGGCTTTTTGGTTTCTGCAGCCTCTGCTGCATCATCATCTCATGTTACCTGCAGCTCAGTTACGTGTTTCTGCAGGAATCTTTGCTTTATTTACTGCTGTTGTCCACTGAACTCACCAAACTCATTATTTTCCACGAGATATCTGCACGTTCCTGTCTTTGGGAATCACTGAAATGCGTTCTTTGCCAGCAGCTCCTAATGTAACATAGCAGCAGTTACTCGCCTGCTTTACGAGGTGATGTGCCTTGATGAGCATTTGCTGCCAGCAGACTTGATAATCCCTCCAGAACACATCAATAAAACAGCTCCCAAAATACCATGGACATGTTGCAAGGGATGGGAGTCCAGCCTGCACCTGGCTGCTCCAGCTTTGTTGTCCTTGGGGAGAAGGGCTGTGCCAAGGTGGTATGCTGGGGAGAGCATCCCCTCCTTCAAAACACATGGATACAGTGCAATGTTCAGGTTCTTGGCTGAGTTCTTGGCTTTTAGTGTTAGCTGAGAAAAATTGTTTTTAACCACTGTTGCAGATGAACCTAGAATTGCTACTTTAAGGATCATGAGACCGTTAACATTCTTGTTTCAAATTCTGACCTTTAAAACAAAAAGCATTTGGTCATATTCACAACATGCAGGGAAGGGAGAACATGGAAAGGTTAGTGCAGCCCTGGGTTTGTTCCCTTCCATAACTGCACTGCAGGAGAATCAAAGACACT